TTTTTAACATAGTATTCTGGTAAATTAATCAAAATTATTTTTATAGGATGATTATGACACTCTATTTAAATTAATGAACATGCCAAATGAATCAAAACATTTTATTAAAATGTTCAGCATTGAGGTTTCTGATGTGTATGCAGTTCAAATACAAGATGAATGGTATAGATTTCAAGTCATTAAAATTGAAGATGATAGTGTTACTGGCATTTTTATTGATTTGGGCATGGAGTGGTGTACTACTAAAAGTAATGTTATGTTTTTGCCTCCTAAGTTTCTAAAAGTACCTTCACAAGTAAGTTCCCAGAATAATATTCTAAGTAACCAATTATTCTTAACTAATATTGTAATAATGCTATGATGTTCTCAGGCTGTGAAATGTGCGTTAACATCTCTATTTTTTGCACCTTATTTTAAAGTTGCTAATGAGCTATTTCATAAAATGCTTTTTGGAAAAGAATTTACTTTAGTACCAGATGATATTGAATGTGATGTTCCATTAGTCACATTGTATGATGGAAAGACTAATATGAATAATGTGATTAGAAAAGCCATTACCGAAAATACAAATTTTGATAAAGTATGATAGCATCTTTCCTTATATATTTATAATTAACTAAATGTCTAATAACTGGTGGATATGTATTTAAAAGAATCATAGAAAACGAGGGTTTTAGTGTTTGGTAATAAACCTTATCAAATTGATCTAATAGAGCCAATAGGGGTGGTGTAAAAATATAATCTCTAGTAAAGAAATCTCAAATAAAGACTCCAATGTTAAAATTATGAAAAAGTATATTTTCAACATTAAGAAGGAAAATAATTAGCATATAAATGGTCAATATTTTCAAATATTATAAATTATAATGTGTACTTATATATACTAACTGCAGACATAATGGATTATAAAAAGGTATAACTTAATCTTTAATTTTATGATATTATACTAATTTACCAGAATTCGTTTAATTTGTCAYGTTCTGTTGTGTGGAGTAATTTGACTTCATTAGTATGTCCGTTACTTATTGATTCAACAATTTTTTTTATGATTAAATTTTAATCTTTTGAATGGTATATGTATATCATTCTGTTTTTTTCACAAATATTAAAGATACCACAAAAAAAAGAAAATCAAGTGCATTTTAGAACTAAATTTAACATAAGACAAAATATTTTGATTTAAGAAAATTAACATCTAATTATAACTAACTATTATGACTTAAAATATTGCATTGCCATACTAATTATATGACTTAATTATTGAAAACTTATTACATATTATAATTTTCTATTCTACTCTTTAATTATTAGGAGAATGCATTATTTCATTTTTGAGCATATTATTAAAAAAAAAACATTTGTTATATTAAGTTTAGAATAATGGCTTATTGAATATTTTATTTTAGAGACTATAAGTATGATATTTAAAATATTAGTTAAATGATAT